AAGATTCATAGTAGTGTTTCTATTATCTCTACCATTCGAACAGCTGTGAACAATGTGTCTGCTTAGAGGTGGTGACAAACGGAACGACCGGGCACAAGTGGGACCCCTCCCCGGCAGGGCCCCAACAATTTGTCAGCAAATTTCAAACGAGCCAAAGCCACCAAAGACGAATATACAGCTTCATATATGCAACGGTTAGGTAAGGATAGAAATACAAATATTTGAAAAATATATATAATATTCGGCACATACGTATCGCCAGTTCTTGGACACGACGTGTTCTGTTGAGGGCCTATGTCCATTCTCCAATACACACACACACAAGCGGCCAGCAAGTTCGTGGAAAGGTCAAATGTTTTCCCAGGCCAGACTGGAAGCGAAACACCCCAGCTATCTAAAGACTAGCAAGGAAAACTACGACACTGCAGGTATATTTGATAGTAGGATAGTAGATGCTATGTTTACGTTCAGTTTACATGCACGGTGAACCTCTGTGACTAGATGTCCAATTTAAAGAGCAGCCGGTGTTCAATGATCGTTTGTACAATGACCGTCAATATATGTTTTAACGCGTTAATTAGTCTGGGGATGTAGAATAAAGCTAAATTTTTACAAAACATTTGCCTGTTGTATGCCAGAGACTAGTAGGAGAAGGTATCTTGTCAAATACACAGGTTCTGTTTATGTCTACATTGTCTACATCTTTAAACTTTGTGAGCGTACAGCTAAGTTAATTCGAGCACTTCGCACAATCGTCGCTAGATGTCACTTTATAACCGCGACAAAGCATGATCATTGTCTTGCTAGGACTAATAAATGACTAATAGACTAATAATTTACTGGTGACGCAACAGGTAGCGTGTCCAACTATATCCACCACTCTGGAAGATTTGACCAAACTCAATAATGTTATGCTATAGGTATTGGTGCGCCAGCCACTTTCATTTTATGTTTATGCTACACTTTATGTCATCTTTTTGTTTACTTTTGTATTATGTTTTATGAGCAGCGGATTTACATAAGCACAACAAGTGCTTCCTATCCAATGCTCAAAAATCCATGTGAATAAAATAAAAAGAATAACGAACCTTCATGGGTGCCATAAGAATAATGCACCAATACACAATGGGAATGATAAAATTGAAGAAGAATGAAAGAAACCAGGTTCAAAATCAAGCATGGAATTTCTCAAATACAGTTCTGTCAGGGGCAAATGATACGCGGCAGTACGCTTTTATCCAAAACTTATGATTTACATATAATTGTTGGATTAACCTTAAAAATGTGTCACTTTGCAAGATGTTCTTCACATATTAGATGGTGTATAACGGTGAACACTAAAACACGTCTCAGTCTATTGTATTCTAGCGGCCACCAAGCGGACCAAGTTCGAATAGTACTGGTGGAAGAAATAGTGAAAGAAAACTTTCGTGGAGGGATGGTATTCTTGAGAACAGGCGGATGTAGCTTCGTGACGTCACATTGTCCTGTCGGATGTTGGGGACAGTTCATGATGACTGATAATGTAGAGGGCTCCCGGCTCTATGACTAAATCATGACAAGAAAAAACAACACAACACTCTTCCTATTATAAGTCAATGTGTGCTGTTAGCAATTTTTAGACGTAGTTTCGAAATGTCAAGGATTTTGATATGTTATTAGACCACCCCTTTGGTGTTAGCGGTTGGTCCCGACGCGAACGCCAAAACCTGCGGCGCATGATCAGTGGTTTATAAAGGCAGTCCGAGCTTCTGGGAGACTTGTCACAGCTTGTCAGCTTCCAAATTTGCGTCCAGATCCGTGACGGAGTTTGTTGTTTGAGGGGACAACATGGCAGATCAGGTAAGCCTGGTAGAGACAGCATGACAAGTTTTGATTGTTACGGAAGATTTAGCCCGTAAACAACTCAGTGATCACGCCCCACTGCTCTGTCAGTTGCCAAACGTACCGTCACGTAACCTGTCACTGTTCCAACTTCCAGGACCTTCTCCCTACCCGGGGCAACACGAAAATCTTTCGAGACTGGTATTAAACCTTTCACAATTTAACTTTGAGTCTTTTAACATGTTTTATATATTTCCGTACATAAAAATGAAGTCAACGGTCTGAAAAAACGTAACAGCAATTTTAGAACTACAATCTGCCTAGTTAGATAAACTTTGTTTCGTAACAAGTTTTTGGTGATTTTGATTTTATTTAGCAGAAATGTCGGGTGCAAAATGTTGCGTTCCGTTGACGTATAGCTCAGGATCAGGATTTTTCCGCCAACAACCCACAGGGCATATACATGTGCGTAATAATGTAAACAGGCGGTGCTATAGCCACGGTCACTCTGGGAGGACGGATTTGTTTGATAAAACCGTTATATAGTTATCTCCCTTATAACTTATAAGCACCATGATTATATATGAAGTTAGTATCCACTAAACCATATAACTTTTACAAGCAAAAAGCCTCCTCCCCCTCCATAGTCTAAGCGGCAAGCGGTACAAATTCTTCGGCTGTGTGTACATTAGGCGAGGTCTCACGGAGATGGAGGTAAACTACAGGTCACACAGCAATAAGTAACCTATGAAGTTTTGTTTGTCACATATGCCGAATGGTTTGGTGTGCCACATCCATTGTTGAAAGCAAGTTGTCAAATGTATTTGAATTTCTCAGTGTCTGACTGTCTGATACTTTTTTTCCTGTACTGAACGATCCTTCAACTGCACACTCATTAACAGGTGCTATTATTGACCAATGAATGACTATTACTCATTCTCAGGTCCCATAAAGTAAGTAATGGGTCATTCTAAATTCGTTTGTTTTTCTAATACTAGGCTCCAACTTTTTTAATGGCTATTTTTTAAAGTAATTTGTAAACATAATCTTTATGATGTACGGAGTTTGTTGAAACATACGTATTATACATGCAACCTTCACATTCTTTTGTAACCTGGCAACCATTGAGAGCTGTTATCACATGACACCCAGTCACTGACTGTGTAGGTATAAGGGGACAGTCCAGTTCATATTACATGTACAAGTGTTTTTAAAGGTCCACATAACTTACATGTATCTTACACAAGTAAGGAAACTGACAGATGTATGTCAGATACTGTGAACTGAATTATAATTTGAACAGTGCATAGCATCAGTTTAAGTTTTATCCTACTTGAACAAAATGAGTGAAAGTAATGAGGTTGCCCAGTAGGTTAGTGTTCAAGTCATCAAAGGTATATAAACCTCTCAGTGATAAAAGCAAAATCTTTTGAAGCAAATGATATACTTGGCCTAATCACATGCTTTGTTTACCAGGAGCTTACTCCAAAGATGTTGTGTAGAAGGCACAGTCATTCAAAAAGGTCATCAACTTACCTCTGTGTACAGAGGTTTTATTTTGGGTGTGTCCATAGTTATTTCCACATGCTATAGGCACATTGATGACTCTGACAGGAAGTTAGGTCAAAGGTGCCAGAAAGTATTATTTCCTTACCTGTATTCAATTTCCTGCAATGTATATGCATGTCTGTACAGTTAAGCCAGTGGGTAAATGCATGTAGACAGAATTGTCGAGAGATTAAAGAAAGGAAATATTTCATACACGTATGAGATCTTTGCTTTCTCAGCATACCTGAATACCTAACATAACATTGAGGTCATATTATCCAAGATTGAGTAGTTTGTAATTGTTGTTACTGGTGTTGCTATTTTCCTGTGGCAGCCACCACCATATCAGCAGGGATCGGCACCGATGCAGCAGCCAGCCATGCAGCAGCCCGTGATGCAGCAGCCAGGGCTCCAGGGGGCGGGGAAGATGGGCGCGCAGACGTGGGTGGCACCCCCCAGCAGGCCATCCCAGGATGCCCCCCTGGTCTGGAGTACCTGACCCAGATTGACCAGATCATTGTGCACCAGCAGATTGAACTGTTTGAAGGTAGGGTACTGGAAAAGAGTCGCATCATCAGTTAGGATGGGGATGTAACCTGGCAGCCCAGTTTGTGTATGGGGGTGTTTATGACATACATGTAAAACCTCAGTGCACACATATCAAGAAGAGTAGGGGTGACCCAGTGTGCTTGGCTAATACTGGTAAAATAAATGAAATGAGCCATAACAAAATTGCTGCCGTTGTGCACTATACATGTAACAGTTGAAGATGACAACTTTAGAAGAGAGAAGAGAAGGTATTGTGTTGTGTGGATGTCTTGTGCAGATCAGTGTTTATACAACATGTAATGTTTAAGGGTAATGAAAAAAATAATCTATGTATACATGTATGTCAAGTCACCTTTAGTAACATATATATTTTTCACTTTTACCCAGCTTTTACCAATGTCCAAATGGCCAACAAGTATGCTATCAAGAATTCCATGGGACAGCAAATATTCTTTGCCTATGAAGGTATTATATGTGACATTTTCGTTGCTTTTTAATGCTATAAATGTACAATGTTCACTCAACATGACCTTTTTTAGGAATATACTAGAGATACCAAATTTCATACTGCCAGTATTGTTAATTGATGATAAAATTTGAGAAGAAATGAATTTTTAAAACCTTAACAAAGAACTGTATGATAATTCTGTTGTTTGTAGTTTTACTGTGTTCACAGTGTTCTTTTTCCTCCCTCAGACTCTGAATTCTGCATGCGTATCTGTTGTGGACCAAACCGCAGCTTTACCTTTCATATCTTGGACAATGCCGGGCATGTATGTAACATCATTCTGGATCATTTATGGCACCAGTCAATGTAAAACCAAAGGGGTTGTCAGGACTCTGGTGCACTTCTCTAATTCCCAACAAATGCAGAGAAAAAAAGTATTTTGAGCTCTGATTTTACCTGCACTACATTGTGACTTGCATAATTGCAGGTGCTATATTTCAACTCATTTCACATTTGCAATTGAGCATGGGAATAAGTACAGTTCCACATTGTTCAAAGTTGAATTGCCCTGTTAGGACCTTACCAAGTCCATGCATTATCCCTGTATGTACAGTAATGTGCTACTTCATTTGATGAAACTGATGCATTATGTCAGCATCAATCACAGCTTTACAATGCACACACTGGGTAATTCTGGACAGGTTTGATTTTATAAGATTTGATTGGATTTATATTTGATCATGAATGATTATGCATGTATTAAATATGCTTGGTCTTAACGGGAGCATGACTGCACCTTTACCCGACTGCCAATATGTCATTTGATTCCCCCTCCGTCAGACTATTTTTACCCTGTCCCCCTAGGAGGTGATGCGTATGCGGCGTGAGTTTAAGTGCTGTGCTGGCTGCCCCTGGTGTGCCTCGTGCGCCCGTGACTGCTGTGCCTTTGAGGTGTACGTGGAGTCACCCCCAGGACAGCTCATCGGCATGGCCATCCAGTCGTAAGTCAAATATCAACAACTAGAAAGGCCAATATTTGCTTTGGAGCAAATACAGCGATGGGTTCACCACATTTTACGACATGGCAGGGAAAGAATGAGAAACACAAGGGAAAACAATGATTTACATTGATATAACTATAATATGAAGTAACATACAACTAAAACAACAGTTAGATAGCTATTCCCTACTTTATTGGTTAGGATTTTTAATTGCATAATGCAAACTGTTGATTTTCAAAAAAAAAAAACGTTACATGCCCCGCATTCCAATGCTGGAGCAGAAAAGCTTGAAATACCTACCAAAACACTTGAATAAAGACATACTGTCAGTATGGAAATGCTCTGTGCAGGTGTTAATCAAGTTAAATCCCAACAGCCAATCAGCAAGAAATGCTCTGTGCAGGTGGAAATGCTCTGTGCAGGTGTTAATCAAGTTAAATCCCAACAGCCAATCAGCAAGAAGTATAGAGGAAAGCTGCATGCCTATTGGTTGATGCCCTGCATTCCATTGTGATGACTCATGCCCAGACGTGGTAAACACGGCACACTAACACAGTAATACATTTGCTATAACACAGCCAAAAAACTCAAATAAAACCATTCTAAAAGCCTGTATCACAAAAATTTAAAAACGCCTAGGGGTATTTGCCCACTGTACCTCCATACCAAATTTCAGGACCTTAGGCCCTAAAATGAAGAAGCTGAATCCGTTTAAACTAGAAAGGCCAACATTTGCTTCGGAGCAAATGTAGGAATTTCACTCCATACCCTTCCCCAAACAAAAATGAGAGATTCTAAATAAATCATACTGCAATTATACAAGGACAAGCTGTTTGAATCTCGACAGGTATTTACAAAACTGGCACTTGGCAATTATCTCCCTTTTTTTTACAAAGATACAACGACACGCACTTTAAATCTCGACAGCTTTACTTTACACTTTTGACGAGATTGTAACTACTACTAACGGAAGCAAAATTTTCACGGCCTGAGAAAAATGGACATGTTCACGGAAGTATATATTCACGGTGGTGACAGTTGCAGGAAAAAGAAAGTCCAGGAATTATTTCCTAACTGTAATGATAAGTTCACAATACAGAGGTGACAGTGAAAACCGTGAACATTGACCCCCCGCTTGCGTTGCGGTACAGTGAAAAAAAATCGGGAATTACAGCAATCAATTTACTGAGTATGTTTGCTTAGTTTCCAGATGTTTTGTACTTGTAGTTTTTAAATGAACGAAAACCGATGCGCGCACAGATGTTACTTTTGTGACAACATCAAAGTGATTTTGGTTTGTATGTTGAAAAAATACAAAAGACTAACATTTCGAAGTTATTGAAATTCTTGAGTAAGAACAATCAGTTTTGGAATGTTAAAAGCAAAGCAATGGATATTAAAACGAAAATGTTAAAATTAAATGTTGAAATTGTTAAAATGTAAAATGGTTAAAATGGTTAAAATTGTTGAAATTGTTAAAAATGTTAAAATTGTTAAAAATTGTAAAAGGATAATTAAAAATATCCAGTGTACCGGGGTTCGAACTCGTAATGTCTGGACTTGCAGCCCTGCGCGTTACCAACCGAGCTATCTGGACACGTTTCCGTTACTCTCTGCATTGTATGTCATATAAAGTGAACAACATGGCGGTAACGATCGCTTCAAGTACTAGTAAGGGACTTTCTAGGAGATACACTCTACAATTTTGGTGATTCTTCAGAAATCGATAACAGAATATATAATACTAGTCGGTGAAGATTGTGGAAAATTGTTGATACCGTGGCGCGCGCTTGCGCCGACGATACACATTACGTACCGTTGTTTACAGTACTCGCGGGGCGCAGGTCATTGACCTCCCGCTTGCGTTGTTCCAACAGAGAAGAGCAAAATATCTGCCAGTTTTTGCGTCAGATTTTCAGTGTTTGTTAAAATCATATACAGGCATCCATGCAGCTATAATTCTTCCAACTAGTTCGTAGTTAGGTGAAATGTTTATAGGAATCACACGAATCGGTATCCAATATCAGAGTATCATGGCCCACGGCCGAGACCGCGTGGACCAGCTGCGCTGGTACGTGAAAATGGTAGTAAATAAATTA